TGCCGATACGTTCAATGGTTACTTGTTCAGATAGATTATGCAACATTCGATAACTCCGCTTCACGAAACTGGAGTCTGAACCTGTGTAGTTCTTCAACAAACACTAACTAGGATATGACTGTAGCCATTATAACTTTTCGGCAATCTCATAGACCTGGACCAGAGTTGGTCCTGTTTATCATTGCAAGGGCCAATGCAAATTATATTTTTTCGTCCTTTCTTTCGACATGCAGTCTGACTTCATTGAAGTCATACTGCACTAATTTCCAAAATTTCCCTTGCCTGTTTATCCTATTTCGCTACCCACAAAAACCCTATAATCGCCGTCTAGGTAGAAAAAAATGCTGGGACTAGGGGTATATGAAATGCACTACATATTGTACTTTGACCAAGCATGATTTCACCCGCACCAAGCGCAAGTAGGTATTGTTTAGCTTACGTAGAGCGCATTGATGGCTCGTGTATATGAGGATATCATTTGGGAGCATATGCAGTGTAGTGCCTAAGCACTCGTTAAAATTCGAACATCGAAACTTTTATGATAACCCGATTCCCATTATAGTACTTATAAATACCACAAACCCTTTACTTGTCTTTTATTGTTGTTACTGATGTTGGATATCATGGTAACCGACATTACTTATACAGAAGAATAAACCGCTACTAAATCTGTCGTGTGCTCATGTTCCATTTTGGTCGCCAAATTCTCTCATGAACTCTGATGAATTATACCACCAGGGCCTACCAAACACAAATGAGATCACATCTATCAGATACTGTTTTATTTACTTACGATAACAATCGAAAGTCAAACCGTCTATCCACATTCAGTGTGGAAAAACCAACTGTCATTTTGTTAGGTCGCTTTACATGGACTGCTCTATGCAAGAACACGTGGTCCGGATATACAAGAGTTGTAGTCCGAACTTATACAGAGTTTTCTTTTCGAGTGAGCGGTATTAGAATAAGAGCAATTTTCAATCAAGCCAGGTAAAGGCTATGTCCCCTGGTCCAGCAATTACGGTTCACAGAGGTGAGGCGCCCCCCTGCCCCCGGAAAATGCGTTGGACGATGGCTTGAATAAAAACTAAGAATCGCAACTGCAAAGGAATATATTTGACTACATTTTAGCTAACACTACATCCTCATACACCCCACAGGATGAGTTGCATTGATCGGCGTCTAGTGGAGGAGGTGAACCATGGCCAGACTGGCGAGGAGGACCGCAAGTGAGTGCGAAATCCAGGTTGCAGAGCAGCGACAGAAAGTGCTTTTAAATTTCTTGCCTTTTCCATCATCAAACACAATGACGTGCGGCTGTAAATCCAATCGACCCTTGAAAATGAGGACTTCAGGGCCTAAGAGGCAAATGTATTAATAAAAAGAATTATTAGTTGGGGGTGCATGCAAGAAAATATACACACACAATAAAACATGCATAACGACCAAGGTTAAGTTTAATATGTTTAAAAAGGTTAAATAAAAATCAATACTTCGAACTAGCTGTGTTGCAAATATTATCTGAATTTGACGTACCTGTCGTATAGCACGGATCATGACGTGATTCATCGTCCTTATCACATTGATACAACGGCGTTTCATCGAGAATAGCCGTCTTTGCAGAACATTATGTAAGTGAGAAGTATTTGCTTACCTTGAGTTCAAATCCCGGCGTCAACTTAATTTCGATTAAATCTCTTGGCCAATTCTCGGCCTGGGTATGCCCTGTAAGGTTGAAGGAAAGTTTTTACATAGCGTGGACATAAATTAATGTTCAGATCGCATATAATTGCAATCATCGTCAGTAAGGGCTTACCCAGTATCAGTAGAGACAGGAGGAGCGTTAGAGTCACCATGTAAACCTGGACTAAAATAAATATTTAGGATAAAGCTGACCATTATGACATTGTTTAATATTTAATAGAAGAAATTCATCGGCAAACGGAAACAAGCTTTATTTGTAAATTTTCGACTCAAGCACGCTAGGTCGACTTCGGACGCGAGGAAGAAGTGTGATAAGAAGTTCACATACTTGAACGTGTCAAAAAGTCTACAATGCTGTGTCAGCTGTGGTCATAAGCATATTTCGACACATGCAAATTGGTGTCAGCTGTGATCATAAGCATGTTTCGACACATGCAAAATGGTTTCCAGTCTCTAATGTGTGCATTGCGACCTTCGACAACAGATATCATCCCTGTACCGTTGGTTAATGTTCG